AACAGTCCCTTAGAGGAGGCTGCCTACTGTGACTGCAGAACAGTCATTAGCTTTATTTAAAATTATATACATGGACTCAAACAAAAATGTGCTCCTGTCAGGTTTTCTGCCTGTTTGCTGGTCCTGCTGAGGACCCTGCTGAGCCTGGATTCATCCCAGTTTGCATTAGATTTTTAGTCAATTGTTCAAGCTGGAGACCTAATTCCTCTGTGGGCCTGGGAGCCCTCAGTAACCAGTGGAGAAAAAAATGGTTACTTCCCAAAAACCATTCAGAAATTTAGATGGGATCTAAGTACCTAAACATCTTCAGTCATTTACTGGATGTAAAGGGAGTTCAGGACAGGGAAACTCCTAGTTTAAGCAGTTTAGCAAAGTGCCTGAAGTTGGATGAAATGGATCTCTGTGCTGGTGACTAGTGATTTCTCATGGACCTCACTAGACTTTCATGGAGCTGCTTAACTACAGATATGTTGTTTAATAAGGAAAAGAGAAACCTGTGGGAAAACAGAGAATATCAATAATCACACATACTTACAAAGAATATCACTAATCACACATACTTACATCTGGCAATAAAGTTTTTGGAAAAAAAATCAGTACAGCAGCTTGTTGCCTTTGAAATGTAATGCTATTAAAATGTTCAACATGAAGTTTCTATTTTTAAAATAGCAGTTGAAAGAAATGCACGAGATTAATAAGAAGCTAAATTGAAACCATGTTGGTTCATAGGTAACACAGACAAACACGGAGTTAATGGGGAGGGCTGCGTGTGCACTCCAGTTTGGGCCACTGCTTGTTTGGTTTTTATTTTGTCTTTCTTAGGAAGCAGAAAGGGGTATAGAAATACCAGCCTGTTTAATCTCTTACTTCCTTTCTCCGGCTGTTGTTCAGTTGAGTTTATTAAGCCTTCTGAAACAGCAGCTTATGGCAAGTTAAGACATCATCTGGCAGCCCAATACATAGGGAGTCGCTGACATAAACTCTTCTCCAGCAGAAATGGACATCAGTCTGCCCACAGAAAGCCTTAAACACAAACAAGGGGATATGGAGCAATCGTGTTGGAAATTGAGGTTTGAGTTGAAGAGCTATTGGCCTGGAAGGGAGAAACCACCTGACACAGGTGTCCAGGAGAGCTGCAGATCTCTGTCTCTTGTTGGAGCAGATGCAGCTGAGAATAAACAATTCTTGTCCAGCTAAAAAGCTAAAAAGCTAAAAAGCTGGACAAGAGGAGAGAGGAGCTGCACCTCCAGGGAAGTGTGTACAAACGCATATGGGATTTTGTTCCAAGGTGACCACAGTCTCGTGTTAACCACAGCTGCCAGCCCAGAGGATTTGATGAACTCAAGTTCTTGATATTAGATAAGAAAAGGATATTGAGGAGGGAAGAAGACTGTTGGTAGGCTGGACCCTGGAGAAGAGCTTTGGTTTTGTTGGCACTGTTGTGACCATTTACAGGATGTCAAAATCTGTCCCACTGGCTGCAGTGGCTTTAGGATGATACTTGTCAGCAGCACAACAGTCCCACATGGCTTTTATTTTCTCCCAGATTATTAACTTTGTTTTAAAGGCTAAAGGAACTGTCTGGGTGGCAGTAACAGAAGAATGAGCACTGGAGGACCTTGTTAGTAGCCCAGAGGAGAATATGCAGATAGTGGCTTGGTTCAAGAATTGTTGGCAGCAGCAGTGAATGTTACCAGCGGGCACTGTTGGAGCTGTGTATGGAATAACCTGCTGTAAATAAACGGCACACAATGTCCAGAGAACATTTACATAAGGGAGACGTCTGTAAAATATTAAAGGAGTAAATGTAGGAAGGATCTAAGAACTCATTGGAACTGAATGACAAGATAAAGCCAGGAGAATTTCTGCCCCAAGGCACTCTTAGTCAGCTCCAGCAGCCTCCCTCCATGCCAATATGACCTCCAGATATGTTTCCCCAATCCAGGTTTCTGGCTATTCCTCTAAGGATGTTTGATTTTCAGTTGAACCCTGCATGTCTCATAACAAGCTCCAGGTCTGTTTTGTGGTCACGGTTCGTGTTCCATGAATCTTATTTCTTAGATAATGGAGATTGGGATAGGGTCAGTGATGGGAACCTTGGGGAAGGCCATAGATATATGGGGAGGGATCTGCTAGTGTTTAACAAGAGAACATTGAAATCTTTCCAGTTTACTCCTATGAAATCTTTCCCGTTTACTCCTATGACTGCTCTGATTTTACATATGAGCAAGTTACATAGGTTGTTAAGCTTCAATAACTTAAGCTCTGCAAAACGTATGCATGAATGACAAGAACACAGGGGCAAACTGCCCAATGGCAGCATTGCTAAATAATTTTTTTCCAGTCAGAACTATCCAGTATTAAAGAAAAATAAACAAAAACCTCAGAATTTTGAATGTTAGAAGAAGAAATCCCAATTTTTTCTCATTGAGCAGATACCCCATTTTCTCAGACACTGACCTATTTACTCAAGCAGTTTGGAGTCTCAAAGTTATTGTTTAGGTGTTATATGCTATTGGTAAAATTGGTTGGATAGTAGAACTCTCTCTATTAAAACAAAATTTGAAATTTCAGAATGAGTTTGCACACCCCATCGGGAGATCAGGCACTCAGTGAAGTTGGAGTGTGTTGGGCACTCACCGTGTACGAAATATTCTGGGAAGTTTTACTTTGGAAGCGTCAAAACATTTTGATTCTGAAATTTGAAAATACGACGTTTGATAGCAGTGATTTTCTATTATCATATCATAAAGTATAACAATGTAAGCTCACTGGGGTGTAACAGTCTGCACACATGGTATGTATTAACATTTGTTTTCATGTAACATATGTATGAGTTGAAACAATGAAATACAGTGATATGGTGAGAATAAAACATATGAGTTAAGATTAACTTGGAAAGTTAAAACATTCAGCTGTAAAACAATTTGGTTTCACAAAAAACAGTCTTTATTATGTAAAAACTACTACATCAAACTGCTCCTAGCTTTCAAGCCAGTTTCATTATTATAAGTGAAACCAGTGATGCCCAACAATTTCCATTGTGGCAGCGTTTAATGCTGTTAAACTTTTACCATGCGTGCTGAAATCATCCACGCTGAGGGCTGCTGCAGGCTGGGCTCCCCTGGAAATGATTGGCAGAAATGCTTTGGCAGTTTCTGAGGCTGAGCACAGGGATGAATATATGGTTTTGCTTACATTAAAACACTACAGCTGTTTCAGAGAAAGGTACTGAAAAGGGTACTGGGGTGGGTTTTTTGTTTCCCAAGCATCTGCCCTGGTTTGGCCAAGGTGTGAACTCATGTCATGTTCACACATTCTCTGTATAGCTCAGGAGCTCTCTCGGCTCAAGGAGGGATTGGGGCAACCAGGGACTCATGTCTGGTTTTTTATTTCACATTCACTGCTCAAATATGTAGGCAAGGTTTGGAAGGAACAGTAGCTTCAAGTACTTTGTGTTCTTGATTGATCTAATTAGGTAATTGTGCCTTTCTGCTAAGGGAAAACCAGCTAATCTGTAGAAAAGTCAGTTTGGCACATGGAACATCTGCTGTTCTTCCTCTTCTGCCTTCACCCTCAAGTCCACGTTTCAAGGCAGGCGCGGTGAGGCGATGCTCTCCTCCGTGCCAAAGCAGAGCCTGCAGTGCCAGAGATCTAATCAGGTGGTGACACCAAGGACTGGCAGGGATGCTTGTGAACATAGAAAAAGTAGTTCTCCTGGCTCTCCCAGACCTGTGGCTGGCCAGAAGCGAGGTTTCAATTATAAGCAGGGCTAAAGTACATTTGTGTTAATGAGAAATCCATCAGCCAAGGTGCAGATACTCCAAGAACACGTGTGATGGGATTATGTGCGTGTTCATTTGACATAGCTGCTCACTTGAATTTGGTTAATTAAGATGGATGATCCCTTTTGGCTGGAAAGTGGCATCACTGAACCCAAGTGTCTGCTAGAAGTGTGAGATGTTGTGATTCCCGGGCTGCCAGGTGTCAGCAGTCACCTCAGAACACCCGGCCGGGGTCTGTGAGGGAAGGGTGGGCGGCAAGGTGCAGGTTGTCACTGCTAACATGGAACGGGGTGGCTTGTCAGCCCTGCTGCGTGAAAACCTTCAGGACCCATTTTTGGGGGATTTCTCAGTGCTGGGTGCAATCTGGGTGCTTGGGCATCGGTCTCCTTGTGAGGAGAGGAGGGATTCTCCGAGGCTCTGAGGAGAGATGAGGGGCTCCTCCCTGAGGCTGTGAGGCGAGGAAGGGGCTGCCCAGGTTGTGAGCAGAGGAGTGGCATCCTCCCTGAGGCTGTGAGGAGAGGAAGGGGCTGCCCGAGCTGTGAGGGGGAGAACACACGGCCCGGGATGTGAGGGGGAGAACACACGGCCCGATCTGTGAGGGGGAGAACACACGGCCCGGGATGTGAGGGGGAGAACACACGGCCCGGGCTGTGAGGGGGAGAACACACGGCCCCAGCTGCGAGGGGAGGACGGGGCTGCCCCGGCTGTGAGGGAGAAGGGGTTCCCTGAGGCTGTGAGAAGAAGAGCTGGCTCCAGCAGCCCCACCCCAGAGCGCACCACTGAACTAACAATATTGGAAGAATTTGTAATGAATTCCTACATTGTTTTTGCAAATTATTGAACTCCTCTCTTTCAAAAAAGTAATGATATTTTGATTGGTTTATTTCTGTTGATAATTTTTTACTTAAATAGGCATCAATAGTCAAATACTCACTATGAGTTCTTTTTCCTGAAACCTAATTTCTTCCACCCAGATGTCTTGTGGGAATCTCAGTGCCGTCCAAGCATGAGCTGCTGTCTATCATTCAGCTTCCTGAAGGAAGGATAAGCTCAGCTGTCATTTGTTTTCACACATCAGGTCTAACTTTCTCCTTTGGGCCCCTACATTGTCCCAAGGGACCTGCCACTCCTGCCCAAGGCCCTCCATGCGGCGTGGAATGTAACCTGGTGTCCAGGGCAGGCTGCTAATTACAGCTTTAATTTTATTGTGCTTAGGAGGAGACAGATATCCAACCTTGCCTTACTTGTAAGTATGGATCTGAAGAAAGGCAGATAAGGTGTGCTGACAGATGGGACAGCCCGATGGCAAATTGCCCATCAGGTGAGTAAAACCTGTGACTGATAAGCCCCATGAAAGGGTGACTGTTACTAGAACAATACATATGGATAGGTAAAACTCTGTACCTACATATATATTACACACACACACACGTATATGCATTTGTTTCTATGTGGTGTTAAGAGCATCAGTTCCAAAAGGGTTTAGAAAATAAGAAAATGTGTGTTATATATTATTCCTGTGTATACATTTTCATACGTAATACATTCTTCGTTTTCTCTGGGGCCTTCTTAAAGAAGTTGCTAATGTATAAGCAGTGCAACTTAAAAGAAACCAATGGGAATCTAAATAGTGTCTTGCAATGTCTAATTTTGGTGATAAGTTAAAAACCCTTGCATTTAGTGACTCAGAAATGACCTATTATTTTACAAGAAATGAGCTATGATTTTACAATAAGAAAATAAAAGCAAGAGTCTGCCCTTAGCTGTAAATACTGCAAAAATTATTTTAATTTTGAAAGTGGTAAGCTGTGGTTTAGTTAGTTGCAAATTGCTGCAACTCCATAGCTTTGGAAGGGGGAGCAGCTGATTCATATCAGTTGAAAATCTCTCTTGGAGTTCTTGATGTTTTATTCAGAATTCTTGGATCACAGTACATTAGAAATCACTGAGGTGCATTTACCATAAATATTCAGCTTCTGTGGTGCGTTATTCCTTGAACAATCCGATTAATTTCAGAGGCTGAAAAAAGAGGATTGATTCTGGGAAATCCCTCTTTAGGAAAGAGAGAACGCTGCTCAGCCTTGGGCTGTGGTTCTGGGGACTATCAGCACAGCCTGCTGCCCAGCGTGGTGCTGAACTGAGTGCTGCAGCAGCAGCCCTGCTCCCTGTTCTGTGTGCTGTTGTTCACCAGCTCTGCTGGCTTCAGCGCAGCACCTCTTGGGATGGGCAGGAGCCTTTCCGCTGACTTCATCAGGCATTGGGTGTTCAGGGATCTTGGAGGAGATCAAATGGCAGCTGGTAATGCAGCCTGGCCTTCTTCCAGCTTTACTTATTGCCTGTGGTGCTTATACAACCTGTTTGGTACCTAATTTTCTCTCATTTCATAAAACACAGAATGACTCAGCCATGCTACGCCACTCAGTATTGTTTGTATATTTTCACTTATCTTTGCTTTCAAAGGAGCTAAATCCAACAGCCATCCAGTTACTGACCCTTGCTATATGAGTTGTGTCTCCAAAGGCTGCCTGTTACCTTTACATGACTAACCAAAATAATTATGAAAGTTCAAATCCTTGTTCATACTGTCTTAAAATGCTATTTTTTCAAAACTGGGACAGATGTTCAGTGCTGTTGGAAGAAAAACCTGCAAAGCCTGGAACAACGGTAAGGTTGATGGTAAGGTACTGATGATGTTTCAGAAACAGAGCTGGTTGAAATATTTCCAATTTTAAGATCTGTTGGTCTCTTCAAATATAAATTTTGAGCAAGGAAAAAAGTAATAAAGGAAATAACTACAAAAAATATTTCCATTAAGTAGTTGACACATTTCTGCACTTGTAAGATTTGAAGAGGGGAGGAACAGTGGATCAGAGCAACCAAGTGTCAAAGGCATGTAACTTTGGTATTGTAGATGCTGAGTGTGTTTCTGCACTGGTCACTGAAGAAGGCAAGACTTCCACCATCTGGAGTTTGGTAGCTCTCATCACACCAGGACTGTGCTCCCATTTTTCTCCATTTCCACCAGCAGTTTGTCCTGCTTGCTGAGTTTTTTCCTTCAGGTTATTTGAGGGAAACAGGTGTTTCCCAGGAAGGCTCAGTGCTCACAGCTCTAATCGCTGTCTCTGGCAAATGGATCCTTTGTGCTGTCTGGAGGATTAATAGAGGGTTAGGTGCTTAAAAAAATAAACAGTGAGTTCAAACAGTGGGAAGGAGCAAAGCTGCGTGTGGCTGATGGGCGAGGTGATGTCATTTGTTTAGCAGAGGTGATACAGTAGTCAGAGATGCCATGAGGGGAAGGCTCCTTTGAAGGAAGCAGGGAGTTGTGAGGGCAAACCACAGAGGAGTTGTTAGTGGCCAGTGGAAAAAGGTTGTTGGGTTTGGAGCCTCGGAGCTCAGGTGCAGCGCAGAGAATAGGGGCTCATTGTTAAGGCAGGGATCAGCACTCCCTTTTGTTCTGTGCCCTGCCCCCTCCTCCTCTGGCACTACAATGATAATATCTTGTCACTCTTAAGACATGCTGGCACAGATCGTGTTCACTGATGGATGTTCGCTCAATGGACGTACTAAAATAGTTTGTTTCTGTTGATGTATGTCTTTGTAGGCTCCTCTAATGGGAGTGTAAATAAATGAACCCTTCAGCAGGGATTTCTTTCACTGCAGTCAGTTTAACCTCTGAGTGCCTCGCTGCCAGGAGTAGCTCCAATGTTTACTGCCTTACACTACTGCTGCCTTTTTCTGGAGTTTCGTGTATTCCATTTGCTGCCCATTTGCTATATGTGGATGCAATTAATTTTTTATAATGAGTGTTTAATAAAACAAGACTGAGAAATGAGGATGAGCATTCAAGAAAGGAAAGGGCCTAATGTTCACTCAGACAGTTAAAAAGATTTCCAATTATTTTACCTGGGGGTGATGACAAGCTGTTGAGATTAATTTCTTTAAAGTTGTGTGCAAGACCTGGTTTGTATGAAGTTGTGGATCATAGAACTGGAATTTTGTTCCTGTTTCCACAAGTACATAAATACTACAGTTGTACTTCTCCTCAAGACAGTGGAACTCAAAGACATCTTCAGAAAACACCCAGAATGAGTGTATAGTAGTGATAAGCCAAAAATGGCTTTACAAAGAAGGTAGTCCCTAATGTACTATTCTCTGGAGATTTTTTTACCATAAGTGTGTGGGAATAGAGTTTGAAAGGAGGTCAGCATAGTTTTCACAGCTCAGTTCTAGAGTTTGAAGTGCTCATGCTTGGCACAGTTCTCCTAGCCTGGAAGTGTCATAATCCATTATCCTCCATTTAAAGAACTATTTAATGATCATTGACCAAACCTCATTTTCTTCAAGTCTCTATTTAAAAAGGCTTCTCCAGAGAAACTTGTACACCAGCAGCAAGAAGCTTCTGGTGAAGATTGAAATGGAAGGTAACAGGCTGACAGGGAAATTTCAGTTGTTACTTGGAAAAATTACAAAACTGGTTTCAGTTTTCTCTCCATTTCCATTATCAGTCGAATCAGTCATGGAAGCATATCCTAATATGCTTGTACAGAGACAGAATGTCACACGGCTACAGAAATTCTCACCAGGTGCAGAGATCTGACACGATCCATGTAACCTCCTAACAAGGTGTGTGTTGGGACAACATTCTGTCATATCATACATATGAAACAAAGACAATTAAAAGCAGCCTTCTCTCCCTTCAGTCTTTGGCATCTAGGAGAGGCAAATGCAAGATTTTGCCAGGAGGCCCACCTATTGACAGAGATCAGCCCTTCCTGAAATGCTTCTGCTAGTTCTTGTCTATTCTATCTAGAGTTTTCAATGCAAATGTACTTACTGAGGGAGAAAATCCTTTTTTTCAAATATGCAATTTATTTTTCAGCCTATATGTTTGCTGACCCTGCTAATAAAGTGCAATTTAAAAGCCGTATTCTAGAATGGGGAATATTGCCTCTCCACCCCTTCTCTTGTGTGTAAAATGTGAGGACTTTATTGGAAGGTTGGCCGTGAGGACCCTGGAACAGAGCATCCAGTATCTCCATATCATTCCTTCATTATTTATGGTTGCAGCGTAGTACATGCAGCACCAGATGTGAGTAAGAAGAAGGAGGGGTGCAAAAGAGAACTTCAAATGACTGTGATGAATAGTTGAAAGTGAACAGAGGGGCTTTTAAGGCTCCTTTAAAGAAAGCCTAATGCTCTGCTTCCCTAAGCAGCAGGCTACTGATGATGGAAAAGTCACAGACATACCTGCAGAGATTTGGGAAGCTCTTGTTTCAGTAGGTCTTTATGGCAGCTAAAAAAATAGAATTCCTGTGCTCCTGCCAACTAGGTTGGTGTGTCCAGCTCACTTTTCTCCTTTCCATTTTGCTCTGTAAGGACAACGTGCAATGACTTGGACAGTGCTGAACTCCAAACCATGTCTATGCTTATTTAGCCATCCCTCCCAAGACCAGGTCCTGCTTTGTGTCTGGTACTTTTACATACTTGAGCAGTGCCATCTCTGAAGACTGCTGTTTCTTGCTTGCATTTCTGGTTCTGATGCTGGCATAAAATGCCAGGCCCTGCAAACCCTGAATCTTCTTTGCCTTATTAAAACAAGTGGTGACATTTTCTTAGACATACACAACCTGCACTTCCCTAATGGCATCCTGGAAATCCATCATTAGTATAAATCAGGAATGAAGAGCCTTATGTCCTCTTCCTGCATCACCCTGCTTTATAACAAGCTTTCTAAAATATTCTGAATTCAGGCTAAAAATTACTGGCTTTTCCAACCAGCAAACTCCTTGATTAATTTTTTCGTTTCCTTTTTTGGTAACATGGTTTGAAAAATACAGCAAAAATGTCACAGATGCAAAGGTATTTTTAAAAGGAATTATTGAAGCTTTTAAGTGATTCTGTTGTCTGAGCACAGCTAAAATTATTTGGAGTGGAATCAAACAGCCTTTGTGCGGGATCACGTCTCCAAGGGGAATACAACATGTGGATGCCAACGTTCATCTGACACTGAGCTACTGCTTCATGCTGTCCCCCATGGGCTTTTTCCCTTGTGCCCCTTCCACTGCCTCCGTGGTGGTGGGTGTGCTTCAGGATGAGCCCTGAGCGGAGCTGAATCCTGGAGGTGAGGGGAAGGGGATCAGGGGCAGCCTGTGCGTGTTACAGGGAGTGGGCAGCAAGGGGTGTAAACACGGTGGGTACAGCCAGTGCTGCCTGAACCCAGCATTTCCTTGGTTTGTGCCGATTGCACTGACAGCATGCCCTCAAAGAGCTTTAGCTCCTAAGTTATCACCGTTCTTGTGAGGGTGAATTCATCACCAGAGC